GCGTCACACAAAACCAGCGAGACCGTACGCAGTTGGTTCGCGGTGGATTTACGGAAATGTGCACGCAGTGGTGCGATGCAGCCCGTGGCAGTCCCACTTGGAGAGTTGGCTGATGCTTGGTGGCAGTGGGGATGTGTACAGTGGTAGAGTGGGAAGCGGTGTTTCGAAGCCGACGGAGGACTGACTTGAAGCCAGACAGAGGAGAAGGGCGTAGGGTGAGAGATGGAGGAGGAGGATGAGAAGTAGGAGGCATCGCATTTCTGCCATAGTTGGAGTTGTGATGTGTTGGTGTGCGTAAACTGAGTGAGACAAGCATTTGGGAAGGCTGGAGGATGAATGTGGGTCTGTTTGAGTGATTTGGGTGCAATTAAGTGACACGGAGCGTGATCGCTGCCAGTGTGGTAGCTGGAGAATGCAGCTGCAAGTGGATGTAGTGGGAGGTGGATTCAAACGAGTTGTGCGCCACGCACATGAGATGAGGGACACAGGATGGTTAGATTGACACACGTGGGTTTGTGTCCCACTGGGCGTCTGTAAATCATTAAATTGCGTTAATTAGGAAGCGTAGAATGCGAGGCTCTAATCACTTGTCACTGTGTTTTGTCTGAGCGAACCCTTCAAAACACGCTGGTGGGTGCTCTGGCGAAATAGCGAATTTCCGATTTGGCTTGAACTTGTGCATCACAGTTGGTTGGTTAAGCGTGTTGGCAATTGCTTCGTTTAGAACGGACAGAGAAACGGGTTCATGATGGACTAGTACGGCGTCACTGTAGGTCTGTCAAATTTGTATCTGACTGCGCGTGCTGTCAGGATCAGGAGCGAAGTGAGTGGATGTGAATTTGTTAAGTAGGGGAAGTGTTCTGTGAGTTGGCATTGCCTTCCGTCAAGCCTGCAACCGCGGCTGCCGTCAAAACTGATGACGCTTCTCACCTCGACTGTTTGGAATTTGGCAGTAACTTATCTGCAACTACGCTGTTGAGTCGCCGTTGGCATTTGGTTGCGTTTTTAGCTATTTCATTTTGCCTTGAAAATGAGTACTCCAGCGAAGAGGTTTTCTTTCGATTAACAGGTTGCTTGCGTCATTATTCTGATCATTTTTGAAGTGCAATAATCAAGCTTAATTGACGAACGGATTTGGTCGATCGATGTGAGCACTTGTAACAGTATAATTGCCGCATCGAATTCTTAGACAACAAGAGAAAACGACACAATCGTGTCACTGCAAGGCCTAGTACCATTGCTTTCGAAGAGACAGGAAACAAGCTCTAGTTGACGTGACGTGCTCCGAGTTTTTCCCAAGTGAGAGTAATGCCTCTTGCTTTACCTGAGGGAAATGTGTGTGGTTTGAGTGGAGCACGTTACAAGGCATCCTCGACCGCATGTTTCAGCGTTGAAAAGAATCCCAGTTTTACGTTAAATTCTACCTCAGCGGATTTCCATCAAGCCTGATTGCCTGGCTGAACGACAAATGAACCGTTAATATTACATAGAATTTTATTAATTTTTACGCGATTGAGAAAGAATGTTGTGACCTGGGTGTTGAAAAACGTTTGCTGGAACGATTGCATCAAACATCAACGGAAGACCCATTTTTTTGCAAGTCCTTGGCATGAGCTGCCATTATACCAGATCACGCGGGCACTTGATGCGCCCACGCCTGATAGTTTGACGACACAACCAAATTGTGATGATTTGCTTGCACTAACTCAAAACACCGTAGCTACCCGAACATTGCAATTTCTAACGCTAGACCACCCAAGTGTCTTTCTACTTGAGTGCTTGAGCGAATATCGACAGTTAACTGTAGTCAATGATCGATAGCATTCGATCAAGTCGCGAACACGCTTCACTCACGCTCGTTCGAGGACAGTTCACTGCAGGGAACGTAGGCTGGCCGCTGTCTTTGTGTGGTTAGTTGGCTAAGAGAGAACGAGAGAGAAGAGTGGATTAAGTGCATTCAATTGATTAACTAATGAAGCAGCTAGTGAGGTCAAGTCAAATTAATGGTGGTTGACGGCGAGTTCTATCACGCTGAAAGTCAGAATGGCAGCAAGCAGCTGCGTCTTTTAAAATAACTTCATCTCCCTTTACCAGTGAATTCCATTTACCCAAAAAACTTGCTTTGTGTAATTGACTTTCGCAAGCAAATTGGTGGTGGCAACACCAAGACTAAAGGCGCCTTATCAATGTTGTAACAGAACCAACGGATGGTCAATTTTGAGAAAGCTAGGCACTTGGCTTTTACTAATGTGGCTGTGCTCAGGAACTAACCAAGTTCTTTGTTACAGATCCGTTGTTGTGCAGCATGGTATCCTCGGATCCACGTGATGGACTTTGTGGCACGGCAAGTCAGCCAGTTTGTGT